CTGGTAACTTTGCACTAGTGTACCTCTCTTGCCTCCTTATCACAGGCCTTCTTATCCATAGTTAGAGTATCTAATCTTGTCTCCTGGCGATCTTCATACGAAAATGCTATAACCAAATATCTCGACTTCTCAAGGTTAAACACTTATGCCAGCTGACATAAGCGAGGCATACTGAACGGTCTTTGTCGACGAACAAAAGCTTCAGGTTTGCTGAGATGGATCTTCATATTTGCCTCATCTTCCAGATAAATTTCTTTAAAAGCATAAGGAAATATTCTATGATGGAGTTACCATAATCTCCTTGAAAGACGGTCTCAGAATTCTCCACAATCCTGAACCTTTACCATGAGTCCCATTGACACTATGCTTCGCTGCACCTTATATTGGCATGCCACACTTTTCTTTAATCAATGCCCGGTTTCTAAGATTTCTACACGATGGCTTGGCTAATGGAAGGCCATACAAATCAAATGTCTTGACACATCGAAACTCTTTCAGAATGGTACGCAATTAGTTGGTTTAAACTGCACTATCGTTGTGCGTGGCAAAGACAGACGTGTCACAAAGTGTCTCCTATGTTCCTGAGCCGTTGCCAGCATTTGATCTTTGGCGGAAGATAGCCCGAGTTCGGAGAAGGGTCGTTAGAAGCCATTCCCTTGGGCTATTCGTTGAAGTCCCCTGGTTTTCGAAGCCGAAGCTGGTCGGTTGAGCAAGTAGTAAGTTTTGCCTTCCGTTCTTTAAGCATTCGAAGGGTATGTCCAAAACCCAAAACCAGCGCAGCTGTGGCTCTTCAATCCGCAGAAATAGAGGCTGTACACAGCGATTCTGCTGGATATCTCCTGGCCATATCTCCCGAACTCTTGGCTATGTTGGAAAGCATGAGCCCCAGCGATGAGTCTCAAAAAGCCCATTTCAGCTGCTGCGGGATAAACTTTTTTCATGCAAGGCCTAGGATTAGTCATGACAGTAGGTGATAATCACAATGAGGATAGGTTTGAATGCAGAGAGCCTAGTCCTCAGAATCAGCTATGCTTTAGTCACAACAGTTCAGTCTAATTCACGCAGAATCCCGCTGACCAGTCCAATTCACCGGTCGATCCCTTCGTCCTATTTACCATCACCATCAAGCACGATTCCGAGGTACGTGAATCTCACCACCTGTCCACTGCTTCTCCGCTAATCTGCAGAGCGCAGTGTACAGTACAACAAGAGAGAACTAGACATATTCACACGCGTGCTGACCACCTCAAGTCTGATGCGGAACTTTCCAGGAAGCGCGAGGATCTGATCCGAGATGCTTTGTGCTTACCTGAGACCAAATTGCTCCTCTTATACCTTAACCACCTATTCGTTGGGTGCCTACTGTCTAACACCTTTATAAAAACCATTTCCGGAAAGCTGAATAGAGTGATAGTCTGATAATTGCAGAACTCCAAACGGACTTCCCTTTTTGAACATGGGTACCAACCCCCCCCCGCCATAGTTCATTCCACTGGTGCCTTCCTTTATACAATACAGGTTGACCGACACGTATTGGCAATAACATGCACTGCTCGTCGAAAGCATTAAGGATATCATCGAATCCAGCAGCTTTGCAACTATCCAAGCTTCTACATCCTCCCTGACTTCATCTGTTGATTGTTTGCTTCTCTTCAGGCAAGTCTTCTTACGGTTGCTCAGGGTTAAGGAATTCTTGAAAGTACTCTTTCTGTCACCAACACATGTCCTGATCCTTGAAGAAAGGGCATCCGGATTTGTTCTTCAAGGTTCTGAGATTACCCTTCCTCCCAACTCAGAGGAGGCAAGTGGTCTGCCAGAATACTTTCTTTTTCGTCTTATCAGCTGTAATAATGAAATTAAGTAAAAAAAACTCTTCATATAAAAACCTCTGCTGATCGCCTTACAACTCGATACTTTACCTACGTTTTCAGACTGATTCCAAACTGCTTTCAGAAAACTCCGATTCCCTAGAGGCTAAAATTAACCGAAAAACTGAGAAGCATCCACCAAGATTTAATAAGAAAAAACCAAAGATTTAGTTGATGAAGAACGACGGTTCATCTTCGACAGCACATATCCGTTAACTTTGTTCTATTTTCGACCTCTGGAATTTTCAGTTCCAGTCAGGCTGTTTTCAGACTGATAGACGATATATAAATTGCAAGTTTTCTTATGAGGTAGATATTAATCGCAGGTATTAATCACATGCCTTAAATGTAAGATTTTAGTCGTAATATCTTCATGCTAGAGTAACCACCGTTGAAAGCAAATTATAATCGGTGACTCGTACCACTGCTGCCTTTGATGACTTCTGCAATGTTAAAAGTTTTCGTGCTTCTTTAAGGTCAGGTGGAATAAAGCAACATTTATATGCACCGTGCTTCGGCATGCAAGGCCGTCTTTCAGTTCATCATGGAGATGCCACAACGGGCATATGGATTATGCAAATAGTCGAATGTCAGAGTATGACTCCGCTGCGTTAGACTTGTCCTGGTCTTGAGTAAAATGAGTCACGGAGAGCAGAATTCATATGACGTACTCATTATTTGCATGCTTTCCTATCAATGAACTACCGTGTCTGAGAACGTGTCCATCTCCTACTAACTGCATGGTACATGATTAGCCACTGACGCGGGTTCGAGCGTTTTCCACTTACCCCTTATGCTGATTTGTACATAGCTAGAAGGCGCACAAAACATATGACTACAGCAAATTGCATGCATCAGTCAATATGACCATTTGTCTCAGGTTAACAGTTTGCTTCTCGTTTCGGTTAGCTGCTCCGTAGGGGGGTTTAATTTCCGGCTCAACGGAATCAACGGTTAATAAGGAAACTCTTCCTCTTACTTCGCACTTGCATTTGAACCCCGCAGCTCTAATGTGCAAAACGAACCTACCATCCTCTGTGTCAGTACTCCCAATTGAGTTTGATAGCCACACTCTCGCAACTGCATTCAAATCTATAGTTTCTGAACTCATATACAAAAGAAGGACGCGTTCCGTTGAGCATCGTTGCTGGAAATGGCTGTCATCACGGTCGATGAGAACTGAGAGAATTTGTTACGTGTTTGAATGGCTTTTCGTTGAGTTTCCGGTTCGGTTTGGCTGTTTGTGGTCGTG